AAATTTCATTCATGCGTGTGACAATAAATATGGAATAGGTTAAACACTGTATAAATGCATTTTTATTAACAAAACTTGTTTAGGACGCCTTCAGAAACAATAAAATAATCAAAGAAAGTTTGACTTATGTTAAAAAAATTCAAAAGTTTTCACAGAAATTAAAATAGTCTTAATTATTATTCAGAATGGAGATTTATGACAGTGTATACCTATCCAAATAAAGCGGTTAACGAAATTTATCCTCAACATAAATTACAACACGCAAAATAATTTCATTTAAATGAAATATATTTCATAAAATATCCTGCTGAGCGATTTTAAATTAAGACCACCATAAACATTAACGTGTAAATGTACAAATATCATTAGCAGATTGTACACATATAAATTTCTAATCATACATTTAATTGGAATGTGCTCTACTACACCAAATTACCATACTTTAGGTAATTATTGTGCAAAAATTATTTTCTATACTCGTATCATCTGGACTTTCACCGCCATCGCAACGGTTTTTCCATATTGCTTAAATGAACCTCCCACATACAAATAAAAATGAAATAAAACTGCAACAATGCGAATTGTTTAAAATTCAATGAAAGTACGAGTTTATCAATTATTTTAAACGATATCGAAAGCCGACTCTTGTTTGGAATGCTGACGACAAGGACACTAAAGTCTCAGTGGGGCATTGGTACCGACCCATATTTTAAAATGCAGAAATTATTCTTATACGTTTATTCAACTCTTCGGGTTTGATTTTTTCAATTCAGGCTTTCTAATGGTCGCTCAGGACAGTGGCGTAACCTAATACAAGAGGTACACTAAAATCGATTATTTATACGAAAACTGAGCTCGGTTTTACGAACATCTTTTTCTAGCTATTTAATTCCTCTTTGACCATTTTAGTTTATTTATAACAAAATCATTGACCAAAAAAGTATTAAGAGAGACACGCTGTATATTTTTTATAAGATGTTTAGTTTTTTTTCGATGACAATTAACATACCATTTTGCTCTATATTTCGTATTACTAAGTACTATGAAAATTTTTGTTTTAAGATTTATTCATGTTTTCCCAAAATCAATTGTTTTATATAATTTTCAAGTGATTGTGTTATACAGGGTGATACTTAAAAGTGACCAAATTATGCAGTATTCATACTTTTTTGAATTTAACGTTCTATATTTTTATTGAATTGTTATCAACCATATTTTATTTTATTTTTATTATACCTGCATCGTAATCCTAAATTAAAACACGCTGCAGCGTGCGTAATTTGGCCTTTATAGCACGCTGAAATTTTAAGGTTGTCTACGTAACAAGAAATAGTGAAATGTATGGACCAATTACAACGTGAAAAAATGTGCTTAACGACGTAAACTAGTAACCGTCTCTACGAAAACGATTCACAAATAACCTTTGATAATTTTATTGTGTAAATTCACATTTTTTCAATGCTCTTTAAAGATCGTAAATGGGCAGGTATAATAAAAAATAGCGTATAACACTCGTTTATAAGCGCCTTTAAAACACTTACCACGTTAAAAGCACTCCGCTGACGCGTCGTGCTCTTAAACCCGTCGTGCGTGTTTTAAAGGCGTGCTTATAAACTAGTATTATAATATACTATTAACATAAAATTTTGTATACGCAAGGTGAATGAAAAGTATGGAAGTAAATTTTTCTTCGTAAACTAACTACTTTACGAAAAAAAATTATTAATGTAGCGTTAAGTATAATTAAAATGAGATCGTTTATCAAGAATAACATTTTTCGACCTTTTTGAATATTGCAAAAAAAAATTATGGCAACCTACTGTTACAAATTTTTTAAATTAGAATTTATAATATACTATCTATGAAATTTGATCAACTGTACTCCAGCTAAAGCGGTTGCGTCCATCACTCAGACGCGAGGCTTGCTCTTTCTATCTATTGCGCATCTCGCAGTCTTTCTTATTCTAGACAACCTGTAGCAAAATTTTTCCCATTATGTATTATACAGCGTGATTCAAAAAAGAGCGTACCATCACTCTGGTAGTGTTTATAATCATTTACTTACGTTCAAAAATGCACACAAAAATTTTTTTAGGTGGTACAGCTCTTCTAAGATGTAACTTTAAAACTCGTTTTTTATTAATTAAAAAATTCAAGTTTATGTTTTTTTAATAAGAAACGTTAAAACAAGTCTCTACAATAATACACAACAAACGAAATTATATTTTTAAATTAGAAGAAATTAGATGTAATTATTGTATTCACACTTTTAATAATAAAATCTGTAACTTGCTTAATTAATATAATTATTAATTACATATACATAATTTAATTATTTGATTGATATGTAAATATTTCCAGTTTTCTGAGTGTTTTATATTACTTACCAAAAAATACAAATTTAAGCTGCTGTGTATTATATACAAGTGTTCTCGAAATACATGATAAAAAAAAATTTAGCTTAATTTAATCGAAACGTAGTATATGAACAATCATAACTTTATGATTCAAAAAATATAAAATAGCTCATCTAAAAAGTGGTATCGAAAACTTCTTAATTTTTTGTTAAAATTGTTACATAATCACCTGAAATTGTAACTTAGTTTTATTTAGGTTTTACATTTTACATGAAGTTTTTAAAAATGTTGAGTTTCTATTGGTAGACCTGAAATTAGGGCTAAAATATAAAATATGAATTAAAAAAAAAATTGTTCTGTGGATCACAGATAAAAAATATCTTCTACAAATCTCGGCGTAATTAAAATATTGCAAAGCTATAAATTATAAAAATCGCAGTTATTAGCCATAATTAGGTCCCATATTACATAACTCGTTGTCGAATCCTCTTCTGAAAATTTTCCATTTCTGTTAAAAACACTTGTGTATTATTTCACCAAAACAAAATTCCTGCAGTCCTCGAGCCAAACACATTAGATAACAAAATTTTCGAAACATCTGTCTCGGCAATAATTATTTCCGGTCAAGCATCGGTTTTCACATCCTAATCTTCATTAAACATGCAAATCAGTTTTTCAGTTCTTACATAACAACAGAACGATTTATTTCAAAGATGACAAAAATCGATGAATGCAACAAATGGGTGAAAGTGGAAGTTTAATTAGTATTGCACAAGAGATGCAAACTCCCACACAAATGGACCAAAAAATTGAAAAAAACTTGATAATCTATTAATCAGTTGTTCAAGGTTGTTAGAGACACTTCATTTGCCTTAAATAAACAAATTTCGAAATGTGGCTATTTCGGATTTCAATGACACTTTACTGGTTTATAAATTGCGTGGTTTACACTTATTTGATGTTACATAAATTGGAGTGTGATGAAAATGTTTGTAATACCATCGAAAGAAATGATAAATTAGATACTTGGATGATTTGAGAGATAAAAGAAATTTTGGTCACTTGTGTAATTTTATTACATAAAAATTGCTTATATTTTCATTACTAGAACTGGACGTGACAAGTTGCTTAGACCGGTTCAATTTTTCAGTAAAATTGTTGCTCTTACAAGGCAAAATTTCTCTAGGAAAAGCCATTTCTTCCCATATCAATATTTTACGATCAACAAGAAATGCCAGATCCTAATTGTAGCGAAACATTCTTGAAATCTTTTGTGCTTGATGCTTGAAGAAAGTACAAAATTATCGAAAAAATGCCCAGTGAACCTGTCTGTATCTACTACGGATGTTGCTGTAATTTTATGAGATTGTAGAAAGTGAGATTTCCCTTGACACTGTTATAATTTATCATAGGTCTTAACGGTTGTTTAATTGGATGATCTTTGGGTATTAACCATCCGTTCCATATGGTCCTGTCAAAATTTGACACGTTTTTGACGATTCAAGGAATTGTGTTTGGTTAAGCAACTGGAGATTGATTTTTACAGTCATAAATCATAAGTCTACATTGCCTTTAGCAGGTCTGTGGGAATGATTGAATAACATTGGCAGTGATTAGAGGTGTAGTATGGGTTGGTCATGGGAACTGGTTGTTTGTAAAAATGACAAAATGAAATATACAGAAACCGAAAAAAAAACATAAATAGTAATTAAATTTATAAATTTAGGGAATTTTGCGTTTTTGTAGTCACACATATCAATATTATTCATAAAGTCGTTGAAAATTTCACTTATATTTGTCGTTGTATGTAATCTGGAACTGAATTGTCAAGTTTTTTTCAAGTACACCGCCGGAAGTTTGAAAAATTGGTAAGAATATAGGAACATATAAACATAAAATACACTAGACTGTTAACGCACCAAAAACGAGTTTGTTAATAGCGTTTTTAAAAACGCCAAACAGAAAAACAAAATTTTAAATATTATTAAAAATTGACTTTTATAGGTAGAATAGAAAGTAAATATAAAATTAACTTTAATTATCTTATTTATTCCATTTATTATATTTTTATAAATACAACAAAAACCAAGTTATCTGCGAAATTGTATTTTGGGTTGCGTCTGAAAATCGGTTAGGGTCTTTACTATAAGTAACTCACCCTGTATACCCTATACAGGTGCGCCAGAACTCGCGCCTTAGAAAAAAAATTCAAGTAAGGTAAGATACATGGACAGGAACATGGAAAAAATGTTTAAAAAATTTTATCTGTCAGAAAATTTTGACATTTATTTTTTGACATTTTTTATGTCTATTTAATGATACTGATAGTCTTGTATATGTTTTTTTTATAATTATTTACTAAAAGAATAAAAAAAATATCAATAAAAGCCACAAATAACATAAAACAGAGTTACAATTTAGGATACAGCCTCCTTGTTTGCTCTTCTAATAGCCTGTAGCAAAAAAACTTGGAAGTTTGTTTTTCCAACAGAAATAGAGTCAAAGTGCAAAATTTAAACCCCCATAACTTCGAAATTTTTATAGATAAAAAAAACGTTTTTTCCATGTTCCTGGTATCTTACCTTATATGGCATTTTTCTCTGGGTCGCGAGTTCTGGTTCATTCTGTATAACTTCAGGTTACAAACGGTTTTGTTTAATTTCGTGACTCTGACAATCTCAAAGGTTTTATAAAGTGCTGATCTTATACTTGTATCTTGTAATTGTTATGCTAATACAAACTTTACTTGTTTTGAATCTATATTTCATCAGGGACGGTATATGCAACCAGTAAAACACAAATTGTTTGTGATTTAATTGTGTAAGTGTTGGCAGCACTGTTGAAAAATTTGTGTAGTAAACAAAAATGGCGGACCCTTTGAGTTTGCTTCGCCAGTACAATGTGAATAAAAAAGAAATAGTTGAACGCGATGGTCAGATAATATTCGGAGAATTCTCCTGGCCTAAAAATGTGAAAACTAATTATTTAATGTGGGGGTAAGTACCGTCCGCAGCCGTCTCACCAATTAACCCTCCCCATCTGTTGACAAGCTAACCTCAAAATGCGACCCTAAATTTTCAGTTCTGGCAAAGATGGAACCCCTAAGGAATACTACACGTTGGAGTGTTTATTGTTCATTTTAAAGAATGTTTCACTGACACATCCTGTATATGTACGACAAGCAGCTGCAGAAAGTATACCAGTAGTGAGGAGACCTGATAGAAAGGAGCTTTTGGCTTATTTAAATGGAGAAACGGCGAGTTGTCCTGCTATTGATAAAAGTGCCCCGCTTGAAATACCCACTCAAGTTTGTATTTTGTGATAAAATTTGAGTTTTGTGGGGTAAGGTGGGTTTGTAGGTTAAAAGATCTGCTGACTATGAAGGGCCTGAAAGTATTGCGAAAAAGCCACGGTTTGAGGATCTGCATGTACAGAAAGTTAGGGAGAAGTTGGCTGCCAGGCTGGATGCCCCCAAAGAGGCTTCAGTCACAGTTGATAATATCAAGTAATTTGTTTGATTTGTAACAATTTCTGTTTCTACTTGATATTTTTAGATCATTGTCTGAAGCCATGTCTGTGGAGAAAATTGCAGCAATTAAAGCCAAGCGTTTAGCAAAGAAAAGAACCACAATTAAAGGGAACGATGATATTGGACAAGAGTACGACATTCGGGCCATTCTTGACTTAGATGTAGACTTGACCAAAGACATTATAAGTCGTGAGAGACAGTGGAGGACTAGAACGACAATTTTGCAATCCAGTGGCAAGGTAAACACTCGTCAGGTTCAACCAGTTTTAATTTCATTTCAATTTCTGTAGACTTTTGCCAAGAATATTTTGGCAATGTTGCACAGTATAAAGGCCCGCGAAGAGGGCCGCCAGCGCCCTCCGCAGCAAGCCCCCATTGTAACCCCCCGTCAAACCCCTGTCCGACCTGCCACTCAACCCGCTGTATACAACCGTTACGATCAAGAGCGTTTCAACCGGCAAAAAGAAGAGACTGAAGGCTTCAAAATCGATACTATGGGTACATACCACGGCATGACCCTTAAATCGGTGACTGAGGGTCCAGTCAAAGCCCGCCCTCAACCCATACAACCCCAAACACCCCTACCTGTGAGTGCGGCAAGACCGCCTTCTGGGGGTCTCACCAAACGGGTCTCCCGAACACCAATTATCATTATACCAGCTGGTACAAACAGTCTCATTTCTATGTACAACGCCAAGGAGATTTTGCAAGATTTGAAATTCGTCTCAGTGGAACAGAAGAAAAACGAGGGGGCGAAACGAGACAACGAGGTGTTGGTTCAAAGACAGAGAAATGGACAGACGGTGCCGTATCGGGTTGTAGATAATCCGGCCAAGTTGAGTCCCAGCGATTGGGATCGAGTGGTTGCCGTGTTTGTGATGGGGCCCGCATGGCAATTCAAAGGGTATCCGTGGGAGAACCCCGTTGAGATTTTTTCAAAAGGTTTGTTGATTGGGACTGCGGAGTTTTGTTTGATTGGTGGTTTACAGTTGCTGCTTTTCATATTAAATATGATGAAATGAAATTGGATGCTAATGTGGAGAGGTGGGCTGTGACCGTTATTGAACTCTCGAGGACGAAAAGGCATTTGGATCGGGCTGCGTTGATGGTGTTTTGGGAAAAACTCGATCGGTGAGTAGATTCGATTTTTTTTATTATAGTTTATTTCGGTGTTTTACCACAAATGTATGCGTATTTGGTAATTAGTGGTCACAACGTTGTCTTTGTTTCTGGAATACCTTAAAATTACATTATTGACAACTAAAATATTCTAATATTTTTTGTAACTCGTTTGTTACTAAACCCTTAGATGTGATTTTTTTTTATTTGGAATGTTTTCGTTAAGTGGACTAAAAAATGAAAACCTCATTTGGTGTGATTTTGATTTTATTAAAATTTTGATCGATTTCCGGTAACCGGAGCAGTTAACTGCTAATAACTCCGAAACTATTAGTTATAACCCTCTTATGTTTGGTATTTTTAGAAAGCACTTTTAAATCCTCGTTTTATACAAAAATGATTGTCATCTGGTGGTGTACAATTCGGGAGAAAATCGCTAGTCTAGGAAGAAATAAATAGTCAATGACTTTATAACTCGAAAACTATAGGTCTTACGTGAGAACGGTTTGCGTAGGCGAATTGTTCGACCGATTTTACATAAGATTTTACTGATGTGAACCCAAAAATCGATCTTATTTAAAAGTTTACACCCGGCGATGCTTTCAATCACTCTACACCTTAAAAACCACTCGTCTCTAGAGCTGCAACGTATTTGGCGGCGATTTTACGACGAGAAAACCCTATTTTAAAAGTTATTGCGACCATTTTCTCGAGTTTTAAAACTTATTTAGATTTTTCAAAGTCGTTTGTTTTTATTGACGTTTAGTGTTATTTTTGTAGAATCAATCAAGCATGGCTAATAGTGGCACGTTGCTAATAATAAAACATTTTTTCAGACATATCATGCAGTTTAAACCCCACTTACGATTCTGAGTGTGTACAGTGTTCAGCTTTTTCGCCCTGTTGTTCCAATATGTAATTTTATTAATTGATTTTATTATTAGCGCTTAGGGACTATCTACACAAAAACATCTAGTTCACTTTATGTATTATAAAAATAAAAATTTATACAAATAAATAAAAAAATATTTTCTAAACTGTTGTTGCATTTTTCTCACCCCTTTATTTCGATTTATTTTGGTGTTTTTCTCCATTTCCTCCTTCTTACGGTATTTTTCATTTTCATTTGAAGTTCGAACTCTTGGGTTTTTTCGTGATGTAGCATTTCTTTCACGTTTTCAGGCACCGATGGGATAAAATAAGCCAGAACACCGTTTGTAATCATAATAATGTGCTGTTAAAAATGAAAATTAAAGAAAAAAAAAATCGAATTTTACCTACCTCAAAAATAATCACGCATAAGAGTCTCATTCCGGTCTCGTAAAAGAAATAATCGGTTTGTTGGTATTCCTTGGGGTGATCTGGGGGATAACGCAATGCCTTGTAGTAACACAAACGACTGCTGTTGTTACTGGCTCGTAAAGCCTTGGATTTGATAGGTTTATCGTAGTCGTCCAAGTTATAAACTATTATCAAATCTGTTACAGGGTTAAAAAAATATAAAATTTTTACGTGACATTGTCCACTCGATGTAACCATCTAAAGATTTGTTGTGGGTTGCTTTGTAAACTATACGAGCAACAAAATCGCTAGTGAACGCCAAAACGAAAGCCTGAAAATTTTACTTGCACAAGCTTAAAAATTACTAAATTACATTACATTTGTTGCTACACTCAGATGTGTGATAAAATGCAGTATATTGTTCCATGTACTTATCCCACTCTCTTGCTTGGGTATAGGTCTTCTGTGCCTCGTTACCAATTTATAAGCATCTAAACGTAATTCCAGACAATTATTTATCAAAGCGCACAAAGGCGCCAAAGGAAAAGCTGCCACGAAAAAAGTGACAAACCCGTATTGGATAACTTCATATAAAATAGAATTTGTAAACTGAAACAATTAAGAAAAAAATTTGCTCACTCATCTCCATAAATTCTGTTGTGAGTAGATATTGCCTTGAAGGATTTAAGTCAAACTCTCTTTCCCACTGAGGTCTATCTGTGTGATTGGTCCTTTTCTTTTGAAATCGTGTTGTTAATTTCCTACAATAGTATATTATGATACGAGTTTTATAAGAAGCATTTTGTCGCACGCACGTGTTTAGGACACGACAAGCGCAGCGAGGAGTGTCATAAAGCAGTAAGTGCGAGAAAATGCATTATAAACTAGATATTATACAGTATTTTTGCTACTTTGCACTTTCTTAAACAAAAAAATAAAAATTTTGGAATGTAGGGAATTTTGCGGCAGTTGGCGACATTACGTGGTGGCTAGGTGGCTATGAAATAAAATAATTTGAAATGTCATTATTTTATTCGTAAAAATGAATTTCGAAGGTGTCGAAAACGTTTTGCAATGTACCGCGTTAGAAATACCGATCTTGACGGCAAATACGATGAACAGTTTACTCCCTGTGAGATCACACGCCAATATTGTTCAGTAAGTTGACGGCAAAACCTACCTAACCACAAAAGTAACAGTAAGTACCTTTTATTTTACTTTGTCCTATGATCTAAAGGTATGCGTAAGCACTACTATAATCATGTTCATTCGAAATATTTTTTGCGATGATTAATTAAACCAAACACAGCAAAAATTTCGTATTTGAATAATTTCATTTGCGTTAGACCGATTGACACTGACAGTTCCATGGAAAAACGGTTAGGTCGCCAACATTATAAGACTAAATTTCCCTCTTTTTAGTATAATTTTTATAGCACTGTTTTTGTTCATTACGAAACCCAAAACAGTTTCGTAATGAACCTTAGTAAGAACGCAAAGTAGAAAAAAGTATTTTTTTCAATTTTTAATGATGGTTTTACTCACGGAGCAATGAGGGTGAGTAAATTCCCAAAAAAAGATTTCAGTAACATAAGAAAACAAAGTTGGACACAAAGCGGCATCAAACAGCCTGTGGGTCCACAACGGTCGGCTTGAAACGAGTCCGGTGGGTCATCAGGGGCATAAAAACGGTCCTAGTGGAATAAAATGAAAATTTGTTGGTGGCCAATTTAAATTACCATTAAAAACGCTATGTAAAGCAAAGGGGCATAATTATTAGCGAAAGCCAAAATATATCTTTTGCTGATGATTGAACTGTCAAAATCTGACTGGGTTCGGGGGTTTTCCAAATTGGTTAACCATGAAGATACCGGCCGATAGAACTAAAACATTGAACCAAATAAATTATCAAAGTTTCAATTAAATCATTACTTTTGCGAATAGTTTTACGAAAATAACTTGTATACAAGCACTTGTTAATATTAGCACAAATACAACATGTGCTTGTTGGGATGGTGTCCACTTTCTTTGCATACGATCAGTGATGGTGACTCTGAACATGGCGAGGCCGTAAACAAATAATATTACAATCATGATCTGAAAAAAAAAAAATCGATTTATTTTTTCTTAATTAATTGGATTACCATTAAAAAACATGTTCCATAGGATAACGTGAGGTAGAAGGCTTTTGTTAAGGTCGGCGTGTATGGTCGCGGTCTTTCGTACACGTAGGACCAGGTCTTGTGCGTACTTTTTTCCTTGTATTCCAGCCTAAAAATTAACCGAATGTTTATTGTAATATTATGTAAACAAGAGAAGGAAAAAATGTACATACAGGTGTCCCAGCGATTTGGTACAGTACATTATTGACCTTTACATGTTAAAATTTGAAAAAAATGTATGAAGGAAATTGATAGATTTCCATAGAGCGGGTCCCAAAAATTAGTTATAATACGAACTTATATATTTTTTAATGAAACACCATGTTTCTTGGCACATTTGGATGTAGCTTTTTATTACAATGTTTTTAAGTTAAACTTTTATTAGACGATTGTGCTTGTTTTTTTAAATAAGTTTTTTTAACAAAACGTATTTTTTTTAAATACAGTGATGAGTGGCAAAATTATGGAAGAATCTTATTTATTAAAACTGAAAATATTTACTTTTGACAAAATTGCTCGAATAGGTTACTTTTCTTTTTAAAAAATTTAAAAAATAAAAAATTCTCAACTTGATTTGAAATTGTATGATTGTTTTTTGTTGATATTATTTCACATTTTGGAAGATTTTTTTTTCAGCCACTTTATGTAATATTTAATTGTCAATTCGACAATTGGCTAAAAAAATTGGGGATTTTCATTAAAAAAAAAATGTCGATGACGTTATCACTGAAAAACCATAAAGTATAAAACTTTAATCCTAGTAGAAAATTGCGTATCTTTGAAAAAGAAAATTGACCTGTTGGAGCACTGAAGCAACAAAATATTTTCAGTTTTAATAAGATTATTCCATAATTTTGCCGCTCACTGTATTATTACACAAGACAGCTACAATGTTCTTTTACAGTTGCAAAGAAAAAAGTAGAAACTTTAAGACTAACAATTTTTAATGTGTCGCATTTGTACCGATAAAAAAATGAAGAAGTTTGTTGAAAGTTAAGTAACTTAAAAAAATAAAATGGAACACCCTATTTTTTGTTTCTGCATCTAAGAGATTATTAAAGGAAATAGGGTGTTCTATGTAAACTTATTAAAGTTATTTACCTTTTAACAATTTGCAATACCCTAAAAAACTGGAAAACCCTCATAGTTTGTATTTTGTTCTTTGCAGTATGTAGTAATTTTTTTTCTAGTTGTCTTAGTTTTTGTATTAGATTTTTAAAAGAGTTTGTTTTCATAAAAAAACACAACGAATTTGAAAAACTACGTAAAATCGTCCAATAAAAGTGTAGCTTAAATACATTGTAATAAAGCTACATACATCCAAAAATAACAAGTATAACAAGTAACGTATGGTGTTTTATTGTATTGTAACTTATTTTTGGAACAAGCTGTATAATTGACAATACACGTAATTTCAAGCGATGCATTAGATTAGGATCTATCAATTTCCTGTATAATTTAAAAAAATTAAACACTTAAAGGTCAGTATGGACTTTATCAACTTGAATTGAATTGAATTACGTTATGTCTTTATTTTTTCTAGTTGGGGTAAATTTTCATTGTTAAAATTGAGTTTTTAATTTATGCATTAATTTATTATACAAACCTTAGTTTTGTGTCGATTTTTTCAAATTCAACGTTCCATTGAATCTTTAACGTACTTTCAACCCTTTGCCAAAGTTTCGTAAATAACGTTGCTAAAAAGTACACTGCTTAGTTGTTTAAATTTTGAAAAAAGATACAAAATGTATTGAATTAAACGTTTTTTTTTGGTGAAACTATTTACTTTTTGAAAAAACTTGTTGATGAATGTTAGTGTTGGGTGGTGCCTTTGAAGACTTTTTGATTTTTTGTTCTAAAGTAACGAAAAGAGTAGCTATTTATAACACAAGGATAATCTAAAGAAGGTTAAAGGATGTAATTCAGAGGGCTAAAGAAATTTTATTTTTGACAAGCGTTATTCGTAATAAAAAAGAATTTCGATTAAAAAATAAGGAGCAAGATAAAATTAATGTGTTGAAATAATAAAAACATTTAGAGGAAATGTTGTTAAGGAACATTTCTGACTTAGGAACTTGTGAAAAAAAAGCGAATAAGCACAAATGAGAAAACGAAGAGCAGAGAAATAAACTAGAAAAAAGTTAAGAACAATGAAAAACAAAATCACGAAAAAAAGCGACACTATTTATGATTTTATAAAAAAAAGAAAATCATAAATAGTCCAAGAAAACGAAGAATAATACTCGAAGAAGAAACAATAAAGAAGGCAGATGAAAAAAAAAGAAGAGAAATTAACCTTCTTATTTTTATTTTGTCGTGAATCACAACGAATTATTGTCATTGACAACGTAAATTTCTTGACTTCATCAATTTTTAATTAATATGTTGTTTTGTAATTTCTATAGGACTCTTTATTTTCACATTAATGTGAAAGAAAAAATGAAAATTAAAAGTTTGTTCAATATTACAACCTTCAACTTACCCCAAAACGACATAAACACTGCAAAAAACACCGTTTCCTTATTATCAAAAGTGGTGGAAATTTTCGCATAAGTACAAAAACTGTTTAAGGGCAAACGCACACAACCATCCCCTGTCCGACAAATGGGGCAAATCGGCAAGTCACTTGAACATATTTCATTACTAAAAGCTCAAATTTTCTTATTTTATTCAATTGAACCATTTCGAAACCATTTACGTTCTTTGTTTTTGCATAAAAAACAACTGCACAAAGCTGATTATAGAGCAAACAAGACCAACAACAGCCGCTGGGATCAGCATTCTGTTGTAAAACCCCAACCAGGCGAAATAGAACCCTACCTCAGTTCCGAAATATTTCTCAATTAAGTTCAAAGGCTGCTCTTTGTACCAAAGCGAGAAATTTGCCCAATACTTCAACAACAACTGAAACAAAATTAAAAAATCCCAACATTGGGTCATACTTGTCGGTCATTCTCCGGGATTAAATATCCTCCCTCTTTATCATCCCACTCGAAATCCCCGTCGTGTAACGGATAAGCCGTTTTGACAATCCCAAGTCGGATTAATTTTTCGATTCCGTAGTCGTTTTCATCGTCGCCAAATTTAGCTTCGCTCAGTATTTCGTAAGCTATTAAAATTCGTTCGGTTGTTGTAGGCCCCCTAAAATCGCAAGTTAAATTCTCCAAACACATTTCTCACACAAATACCGTTCTCTTATGAAGTTTTTATCGTTAATCGGTGCGTTAAAAAAATTGAAATCGGCGAAATCAATACTTGAAATGGTCCCAAAAGCCGGCCCGTGGCCGGAATCAGTCAATTTTACATTGTAAATATGGGCAAATTCGTGCAGGAGTTGTCCTGGGATGTGGAGAGTGAGAAAAATAAATTTTTCAGCCTAAAAACTCAATTTCTGAGATTATGAAATTAAAAAGCCAACACAAACCTCATCTGAATGCAATTGGAGTTCCAGTCCTTGTTCCTCTAGAAATTTCATGAATTTTTCAACGGTGGTATAATTTTCAGAATCCTTGATTTTACTCTCAAAAACTATAACGTAATCGATTCGTTTTTCGTCCATTTTTTGTAAAATATTTTGATAAAACTGTGACAGATTTACTATGACAACAATCTGAACTGTCAACAATTCGAATAATGGCTTTAGACAAGAAAGACAGTGTTTTTTCGGCCCAAGAAGGCCCCCTGATACACCGTTACGACTACGTCATAATCCTCGATAGAAACATCAAACAGTCTCAATTTTTCAACGATGTGGTGAAATATCTCAACTATTTACAAGGCCGTGGAGTAATATTGGAATTACGACACGGAAATGTAACTTTCCCTCCCTTGTGTGGAACAAAACTCCTCTCCATTGCTATTTTAGACGATCAAACAAAATCTCTACGTCCTGCTTCACATCACAGACGAGTCTGTGAAAAATTTTGCGAGTATTTATGACATCAACGTGGAAGACGCCGGTCATCACTATATACACATTTCTTCAATCAATTTGAGGATGACCCAAACTCCGCTCTCGCTAAATAATGACATTTTTGAACGGAAAAGGTACTTCCGAATTGTTAGTTTTTGTAATTTAAGCATTTTTGTAGTGTCATTGCGACCAATGCCGAACGGATTTTGGTACTGTATGGGATGTTGTCGGAGGCGAGGTTTGGTGATAACGACGAGGATAACAAATATGGGTGTAATAAACTGATAAATATGGGTGCTGTTAAAGATGTCTTTCCATTACATGACGGCCCATATGAGATAAGAGGGGAGATGAAAGACGAGGAAATGAACGACAGACAAGTATTTTTTAATTTATTTAAACGATATTTTAAAAATAATACACTACAAAAAATTAAGGGAACAAAATACAGGCTGTTTCACATAACTTTACAAGGCTTGCGCCTAATGTACGCACCCAAATATACAAAAGTCACAAAACACTGGATACAAAAAATACACATTTAATTATTTAATTTTTGGAAACCCATGACAGTAGTTGTCAAACTAATCACTCTTTCATTAATAGTCATAAACTGCAGTTTATCAGAAACAATTATCATTTGTTCTATCAAGAGACGGCATGAATATGATTCTAGTTTATCTATCTTAATCACTAATTAACTAAAAACGTTGTAATTTTTGAAAGGGTGAACAAACTAGAAAAGATTATCCAATTTTTCAAAATTTGTAATCGAGTTCGTATCGGAATAATTATTGATTGCATCTTACAGGAGCAGGCCTCGTAAAATTACGTGAAACACCCTGTATTTCCTATTTTTTTTTTGGTGATTTTTAAAAGTATCTCATCGAAAAATGATCATATCCAGGTTTAAAAAAAATATTTGAAGCTTTAGGTTTCTAGTTTTGAGGTCTTTTTCTGTGCTACGGTTACCACGCAATCCTAAGAATTGCACAATAAAAATATGTATTTTAGTTTGTTTTTGGTCCACGACTTTGGAGATTATTTTTTAAATTAAATTGTACGTAATGCGTGGGCCAGATAGCCTGTTCGCTCAGCTTTAACCTACTTTTTTTACATTCTCTTTACGTCAATTAGTCGTGAGATTTCTGACTTTGAATAAAAAAGGATCCTTTTGTTTTGCACATAAAAGAAACAATACTGTTTAACTTTTGAAAAAAAAACAAAAATATTTTTTCCTTTAATATTTTGTATTTTTTTTTTCAAATTTAACAAGTACCGTAAAATGGGCTTACTTTGACTTCCGGGGTTACTTTGACACGTTATGGGGCTACTAATTTTGTTTCATTTTCAGTATAGGTACCTACCTACCGAAATTATGTTTATTTTATTTTTATGCCATATACACATAAGCCACAACATACCAAAAAATGACATATTTAATTTTTTTAAAGAAAATACAAATAAAATATACCTGTAGTTCATGTTTTGTGTTTAACTGTTTAATGAGTTAATAAAGTTTATAACGTACTCTTCAGGCCATCATAACTTTGATTTCCAACGTAATTAAAGGGACTGTCTAAATAGCCCCGAAGTCTGGGTTTCTTGACGCCAAATTATCTATTTTTTTTTTTTTTTTTTGGAAAAATTATGATCTAATTGTTCTGATGCAATTTTTTTAAAGAAAATATTGCAACAAATAAAAAAGTTACATTAACAAAACATCTCAAACTATGTCAAAGTACGGTAACTAATGCAAAATTGTAAAAAAAAAGTTAAAAAAACGTATTTTTTTTCATTTTGATGAAGATTAGACAATGTTCAGAAACAATATGCACAATTGCTCCTTTAAATCTTTTGTAAAATTTTGATCAATCAATGTCCGAGAAAGGGCTATGACGGGTACATTAAGCTGTAAAAATACATAAAAATATTATTCTTCCCATCAATATTGATTTGTGAATACGCAATAGATTTACTACATTTTTTTCTCGTGCTATCTCTTAGGATTGCGTGATAACCGTAGTACATAAAAACGTTTGCCACAAGACCTCAATACTAGAAACTTAAATCTTCAATTTTTTTTTATCTAGAGAGACCATTGATTGATTTCAAAAATCACCAAATAATTTTGAAAATATTTTTGTTCCCATAATGTTTGGAGTAGTATACAGGGTGTTTGTGGATTTCGAGCAAATATTTTAACCACTAAGAGCATTTGTTATGAAAAGTCGAATTGAAGACCAAACAAATTCCGTATCCAAATTTTATTTTTGCAATTTCCCCCCTATGATTTTCACGAGCCGTTCAGTGTGTCTGTCCTTGTTAGTTGGAAGTAAAAATATCAATGAAAATAAATTGCATTGAGTGTTGACCGTGAAAGTTTTTATACAGAAAAAAGGAAACTTTTTGTCCAAAAAAATTATCACTTGTTTACACGTGTCAGTTTAGTTAGTCGTTAATGCGCTTTCGGGTGAATTGTGCACATCGATTTGAAATCAAATTGTCAGTCAAGTTATTATGGCCAACTACTCAAACGCCACATATTACCTCAACGTTTAACTAGTGCCGTTTATCTGGATTTTTTGGAAAATGTCAAAGTGGTCACCAATGGATTGAACAATTATTTTCCCTAGAGGTGGATTGGTCGCCAATGACCACCGCGGTCACCAGATTTAAATACGTGTGTTTTTTTGGAGGTTCACATGAAACAATTAGTGAATTAGTGTACGCAGCTCAAATTTACACCTTCGAAGGGCTGTGTGTGCGAACGCAAGCCTCCCTAACCTGAAGAGTACAAGAAGTGTGCATTGTCAACGAATGACCACATTTCGAGCAATTTTTTATAATAGCAAGTGTTGACCCACTAACATTGACACTGATCTACTCTAATGTAGCGATAATTTTTTTGTCTTTACGCTGTTTACGTTCCAAAGTTTTTTCTTATGAATGAACGTAAACATAGTATTATGACATAGGCGGGGACGGGTTTTCAGCCTCAATTTATTTTTAATTTTAACTCAAAAATGACGTGCTTTCGACAAAAGTTGGAATAACGAAAGTTGCTTCTTTTGCCGAGTTCTATTAGTGGTTAAAATATTTGCTCGCAATCCTCAAACACCTTGTATACACAGTGTCAACAAAAATAGAACACTTCAAACAAAAAAAATCTGACAATAAAAGTAATATCCAAAGATTCGCCCTGAAATTTTGAGGAAACCTAGTGAAGAGTTTTTATAACTTTGTGAGATTTTTGAAAATGTTAATCATTCATTCATTTAATCAACTAATTTCATATCTATTTTTAATAACAAATATCTGGCCACGTCCAGAAGAAACTGAAGAAGTAACCAAAATTGCTTGTAGTTGTTGCTGAAATACTGGGCGAACTTCTCCTTGTGGTACAAAGAGCAGCCCCTAAACCTTATCGAAAAATACTATGGATCCGAAGTTGCATTCTACTTTGCTTGGCTTGGCTTTTACAACATAATGCTAATTCCTGCCGCTATTGTCGGCGTAGTTTGTTTCATCGTCAGCGTAATTAACGTAAAAAGTGTACGGTACGATACAGTGTACGAGTTTTGATTTCTTGTGCATGATTTCCATAAAAACAAAACATTTTAGAGACGATATTTGCTCAAGCGAACTGAAAATGTGTCCAAGATGCTCGTTTGGACACAGCTGTGTGTCGCAACCGCTGAAACTGGAATGCGAAGCTGCGACAGTGTTTGCGGTTTTTGATAACTACATGACGATCTTTTTTGCAGTGTTTATGTCTTTTTGGGGTACTTACGTAAATCTGGGGTGATTTCTCAATTAATTTGTTCATTATTCAAGCAACTTTGTTTACGAATTTGTGGAAGCGATTCGAAAGTGTTCTAAAAATTAGATGGAACGTCACTACTTCTACTATCGTTGCTAAAACACAGACAAGGTAAATTAATTTGTGTTTGAACAAAAATTAAATATATTTTTAAGATTGCCATATAAAGAAAAAGCCACTCATAAAAGAATATCTCCAATTACCGGAAAACTTGAGCATTACACACCCACCGGAATCCAAATTGCTTATTACACACTGTCTTTTGGGACCTGCTTACTCTTAGTAATTTCAAATAATTTCAGTTAAAACGAAAAATAAGTTAATTTTAGGTAGGTGTTGTGCTTTTGGCAGTACTTGGTGTAATTTTCTACAGAATAGTAATGGCAGCTTTGATCGTAATGAGCGATTCTTTGTTTTTACACCGTTATACAGCATTTATTGAAGCTTGCTCGAGCTCACTACTGCAGGTTATCTTTATCAAAATATACGGAAAGGTGGGGTGAATTTATTTTTTAGAGTTTGTAATTTTTTATTCAGTTTTATGCACCCCTTTCCGAATGGTTAACAAACATGGAAAATCCGAGGACGCAGTTCGAGTTTGATAATTCAGTCGTACACAAACGATATATTCTGGGTTTTGCCAATAATTACGCTGCATTGTTCTACATGGCTTTCATAAAAGTACTTTTTTTTAATTAAGAGTTGTGTTCTAGTCTTTTTTTGTAGAGTCGGTTTTACTCACCTTCTCACACAGGAGTAATCAGTTTGAAAACCGATCTTTGCCCTTCGAGCGGTTGTGTGATGCCTCTATGTGTCCAACTTTTCGTTTTGATGCTTTTGAAATCAATGGCTGGGAATATTTTAACACTTGTGGTTCCGTAAGTTGGAACTTGATCGGTGATAAATTTATTTAAAAAAATTACAGAATTATTACTAAACGGTTCACAAAGACTGTGGTGAGGAACGCAGCTGCTCCACACTGGGAACAAGAGTTCGGTTTGTATCCGGCTGGTCGATATTTACTAACCACCGAATTTATGGAAATGAGTAAATTTTCTAGTTTTTAATTTTTTGTAAATACTGATGCAAATTTCAGTTATTCAGTACGGTTTTGTCACGTTTTTCGTGGCAGCTTTTCCTCTTGCACCACTCTGCGCTTTGATAAATAATTGCATGGAATTGCGTTTGGACGCTTTTAAGTTAGTAACAAGACATAGAAGACCAGTGCCGAAAAAAGTGTCCGGGATTGGTCCTTGGAAATACATTTTGGAAACCATTACACACTTGAGTGTTGCCACCAATGTGAGTTTTCCCTTGTGTTGTTAATTTTTTGAAAAAAAAATTAGGCTTTTGTTTTATCCTTCACTACTGATGTTGTGCCAAGAGAGATTTACCGATTTCGACATAAAACCTTGAAAGGTTACGTTGAATCAACTTTGTCCAGTAAGTATTTTTCTTTTTGTTATAATTATGGATACCTAAAGACTAGGCTACGACACGATGTAAAACAAAACGTCCCAGTTCTCGATAGTTCCGTTAGTGAGGCCAAACAGCGCAGTTGTAACTTTCCTGTTTAAGTTTTAAAAGCAATGAAATAAAAAATGGCTGTATTTACATAATGGTGAGCAAAACACAAATAAAAAGAATATAGACAGATAGAGCATTAAAATCTCACTAAAAGGAGGCAAAAAATTTATTGAAAACTATACAGGCTGCGCCAGAACTCGCGCCCCAGAGAAAAATGCCATATAAGGTAAGATACTAGGAACATGGAAAAAATGTTAAAAAAAATTATCTATAAAAATTTTGGAGTTATGAGGGTTTAAATTTTGCACTTTGACTCTATTTGTGCTGTAAAAATAATTTTCCAAGTTTTTTGCTATAGCCTATTAAAAGAAGAAACAAGGAAGATGTATCCTAAATTGTAACTCTGTTCAATGTTATTTGTGGCTTTTATTGGCAAAATTTTTGTACCTTTACTAAATAATTGTAAAAAACATATACAAGATCATCAGTATCATTATCATTGCTATCTTACCTTACTTGAAAATTTTCTCTGGGGCGCGAGTTCTGGCGCATCCTGTATTTAAAAAATTTTTCAAACGTTTAGCAATTTGCTCCCTGGCTCATATTTTTGAAAATGCTGCAAATACGGTGAAAGGTACAAGAAAAATATAAAAAAGAAAGTTGTAGAGAATAAAAGTTTCAAGAAAAAAGTCTGCGAGAGATACCGCTATCTTCAATGGTTTAGGTCCTAAAGACGTTCAAAGACGCTCAAGTGAAGAATACGTGTCATTTTTACCGTTGGTCAAAAGACAAAAATCAATTTAAATCTAAACGATTGAAGATAGTGATATGGTCTCGCGGACTTTTTGTACGAAATTTAATTCTCTACAACTTTGTTCCCTACACTTTTTTTGTATCTTCAACCGTATTTGCAGCGTTCTCAAAAATATAGAAAACAATATTAAAAATAAATTATGAACAATTATCAGTTTGCTTTCCGCCCAATATTTTTGATAACGCTGCGAATACGTTAAGATACAAAAAAAGTGTACGAAACAAAATTGTAGAGAATAAAATTTTGCTACAAAACAATCCACGAAACCATATTTCTATCTTCAACAGTTTAGGTTTAAATTTCTTTAAAGTGTTCCTCCGGCCCTGAATCACTTGTAGAAATGAAACGAATCCGTTGCTTGGGCTGTTTTGAACGTCTTTGAGGATTAAACCATTAAATATAGATATGGTCTCGCGGACTTTTTACTAGAAAATTTTATTCTCTACAACTTTCTTTCTTACATTTTTCTTGTATCTTCAACCGTATTCGCAGCATTTTGAAAAACATGAAACGGAGCACAGATTTTAAATTATTTTTTTTTCTCATATTTCTTGTAAAAAATCGAGTCGTTCCTTTTCACAGCTTATTAAGAATTTAAAGCTCAACATTTTTGCATTTTTTTCCAAGCAATTAGTACACTGGTTGAATTTAAATTAATATAAAACGATTTTAAACTAAGCTCTAAGCGCCGTCATCGTCATTTTTACTCCGCCAAAAAATCGAGAAATTTTGTATCTCGTTTCGTCTCCTAGTTGTAGTTCTCTGTAGTTATAATAACTAAAATCGAACAGTTTACGACATGAAAGACAATACAAGACTCGACGACAATGACCTGAAAGAAATGTTTGTGGACAGCAATTCCACTTGGTGCTATTACAGGGCCTCCCGTTACCCCCCAGACCACCCAAAAAAATATAAACTGACAAATGCATTTTGGTACGAAATTGGAGTACGACTGTTGTGTGTTATTGTTTTCGAGGTATAAATGTTGCATTTCTGCCAAAAAACCCAAAATGTCAATTCCAGCATGTCATAATGTTGACCAATGGCATTTTGGCATATTTCATACCTCCAGTTCCAAACAAAATCAAACGCTCAGTTTATAACGAAAATAGGAAACATCGGAATGAAATTTTGAACACAATGCATGAGAAAGTCAATATTTTGCGTCGGAAGAACGAAAAACCCAAAACCAGAATTATAAGGGAAGAGTGAATTAGTGCTTTGTTGTTAATTTTTATGAATAAAAATTATTGATTTAACCATTGTTAGACAAGGATGCACTTATGCCACATATCGTGAAACAAACACAGATGGAAAATAACAAACTAGTCTAGTTCTTAAAATGTTTATTTGGTTGACCATCTTACACAATTTAATAAACTTAGAATTACGTTAGATCGAAAATATGTAATTTCTTCTTTTCCTGCTCCTTCAAGTAGGTTTCTTGCAAAGCTTTCAATTTAATTGCCTTGAACTGATCTCTCTGGTAATTTATATGTTCCTTAACCGAAAATGGGATATCAGGGATGATATAGGCTATTATTCCTGTTATCAGCATCACAATGTGCTTAAAATAAAATAAAAATTATTTAAATGGCAATAAAAATCTAATATAATTACTTCAAAAACAACTACTGCAAGAAATCGTATTGTTAGAATATACCAGTGTTCTTCAGTCAACTCGTACTTGCTTGGATGATCCGGAGGATACCTTCTTCCAGGGTAATAGCACACAGTTAGATTGCCTGCGGTTCCAAAGTCCAATAAAAATTCACTGACATTAAAAACTGCAGAAAATTCGTAAAATTACTTGTGTTATTGCAAATTAAATAAAACCTGAGATTGTAGTATTTACGAATCCGACCAAATCACTACTTACAGTCGTCTTGTAGATGTTCCTTTGGACAAATTCGCTGGTAAAAGCGATTACAAATGCCTTCAAAATGATTATCAACAACATTATAATATTGTAAAAGTTTTACATTTGTAGCAACCCCTATATAAGTCACTCCTTTTAAAATCCCATTCCAAGCAGCCAAATTCGGGACTTTGAAAGCAACAGGACGTCGAAAAGCTCGAGTCATTTTAATGGCATCTATTCTAAGTTCGATCAAATTGTTGAAAAGTGCCAATAGGGGGGCTGGGGGAAAAGCAGCGACGAAGAATGTCACGAAACCATATTGAATAACTATGATAAAATGAAAATGAAATTAAAAAAACACCAAATTTTAACACTTACTCATTTGCATGTACTCCTGCATAATGTGGTACTTTTTATACGGATTCAGTAGATAATCGCTTTCCCACTGTAACGTCACTTTGAGATTCCTATTTTTGTGTTTTCGCATCCTCCGCAATAAATTTTTTATTTTGCTGTAAACTATCGGTTAAATATGTTTTATTTGTTTTTTTTACATACGGGATTATGTATTGTTTGCCCGTTAGAACTATCTGTTTGCCGATTAAAATTGTTACTAAATGTATTCCTAATTCGATTATACAACCAGCTGGGTTACACAAATCCGATCCTATACCACCTGCTGTTGTCCAAAGACGTTCATCACCAGGGTGGGTGTAGAACCTGGCCTAAAACACTATTAGTTTGTAAATTTACTACTTAAGTAAGGACTTCATTCTTGTAATCAAAAAATTATAACAATAAATTTCAATTTCACTGATTAATCATTTTGACAATTAATACAAAAATATCTCCCTGTGATCAAAAATAATTGAGCCAACAACAAAAGTAAGAGCAATGTTTCAGTGTTTCCATTTATGAGTTTCGAAATAACCAAAAAAATGATTAACAAAAAAAACGAAAAATCATTTTTTTTCTCTTTTATTAAATCGTCATTTCCATACCAAGAGGATCCACTAAGAAGTTAAAGCCGTTTCTTTGAGTTGTCATTTATTAAAATTATGTTTATTTTGTAATCAATGTTAAATTTCTTTATCGTCTTGTATAATAAATAACTATTTTTACAACCATTTTTGTTATTTAACTTGTGTAAATTCATTTGTCAGAGTCAAAAAAATAAAACCGCCAATGTGATGGAATTTAGAACGCAGAGAAAAATTATCACCAAAATCCAAAATCAGAAGTGAACTTTTCTTTTCAATGAATCAAAATAATGAAGTTTTTCCTTTACAGTTTTGGCGTAAAATCAAAGATACAAATTTTTTCTTTTGTAAACTCAATCCGAGGACATATTGTGTATAACTATAGTTTCTCGTTTTGTTTTTTGTGATGAATTTAAAGGTTAGCAAAAAAATTTAAACCATTAGTGTAAGGGCTGTAGCACTGTTATAAACAAAATTGTTATTTAATGAATATTTTGTAAAAATTGTTTATTAATAGAAGAATATTGTTGTTGACATTCTTTAAAAATAATATAAGGAAGAAAATGAATATCAACAAAGCTCACTCGTTTGTTAATCGGCGACTAACCATCGCGATAACTAAAGCCCTCGCTATGTTCGCAACGTTAAAACCATTTGAAAAACATTAAATTTTAACACTCATTTCTATTACCAAAAAAAAAAAACAAAAAATAGATTTTACAAACAATTTGTTTCTCATTGCTTAGAAATATTGTAATTTCTTTTATTATTAAAACAAAAAAAATATCTATATGTCCTGGGAAAAGCCTAATCTGAATGCTTAATGATAACTATAACAAATCTGGTAAACTCATTTTTTTTCAAAATCGCTCGTTCATAATTTTATGTTAATTTACAAATTCTCTTATTTATGTTATCGAGTTTGGAAAAGATTTCTTATTAAAATTGCGGAAACCGCTTGACTTCCATTATTTTTTTTTAGATAAAAACCCCTTATATATTAAGCAAATAGCATTTACCTTCACGAAAGCGATGTAAAATATAACGGCGTAATTATTGACAAAAGCTAAAGCATAACTTTTATAAGTGAAAGAGTTGTCATAATCAACTTGCGTCCTTGGATTCTCCAAATCAGTCAGCCATGTAGCTATTTTCCCATATAACTGAAACCAAAATGCAAAATTTTGCCAAAAATCGTTGCTAAAACAAACCATTTCGAAAATAAGAATAAAACAAAGTGAGAGAAACGATCCAGACGCCGATGCTACCAGTGTTGGATTTATAGTCAAAATATGTTTGTCGCTACTTGTCAACACCACGGCGACGGTTTTGATATAAACCATAATCCCAAACATTCCGAGAATCATCAGTAACATCTAACACAAATTTTTGCAGTCAAATAACATACTATACTTACCAGAAATAATATAGCAGACGCTGAGAGAGTGTATCTCGCACATTGGACCTTTTTCGGCATATACGGTTCTAAATTCCCGGTTATTTTCGAAATTTTATAATGTGTCGTCTTTGCTTCAAACTGTGGCCTTGGAATAAAATGTTTTGTTAAAAAAAATTGTAATTATATCGTGTTTTATACCTCATGGAACAATCCGCTTCGACCGACCTCAAATTCCACCTAATCTGCAACATTGCTTCTTTTCTACGCCACAATTCCAGGAAAAAGGTTGCTGGAAATTTGGATAAAGTGGAAAATCGCACAAAATTCGCAAAGTTTTACACCAAATCGACATCAAGCCGGCGAAAGTGATAACTAAAGGATTGTCCATCAAATAGATCAAATGTGCATGAAAACAGGAATTTTTCAAAGGTTCAAACTTGCAATTTTTGAAATGGCACTGCGGACAGAGCATAATTGGGCTTTCGCACACTTCTTTACTGGAAAACTGTCATTCGAGACGACAAAACACTACGAAATACTTACCTTCGCGCCGTAAAAATATCCTCGAAAATTAACAAACCTAAAATGAAACAAAAAACCCCTAAAGCCGACGCTGGAATCAACATCGTATTATAGTAACCCAACCACGCAAAGTAAAACGACGTTTCAGGCCCGTAATACTTATGAATGAGGTCCAAAGGCTGTTGTTTGTAAAAACAGCGCAGACTACTCCAATACTTGTCCAACAACTGGAAAAAATTGAAGAAATTGTTAACCAATCAAAGAGTTTTACTTGTCGCTCATTGAGAGGCCCTTCTTCCGTCCACTGCCACTGCCCATCATGGATCGGAAAAGCCGACTCAAAAATATTCGTACTTATCAGTTTTTTAATACCGCAGTCTTGGTCACTCTCCCCGTATGGATTTTTTGACAACACCCTGTATATTACTAAACCCTTTTCTGCATTCGTGATGGTTCGAGGGATATCCTCGGACAGTATTGGTCTTAAAATTGACCAAAATTAGTTTTTTTTTAATCAAAATTTGAAAAATTGTACCTTGCCCTTTCATATACAGGGTGCATCACATTCGGAGATGTCAATATAGTGGCCATGAAGTTGAACGGTTTGGTGGCTCCGACTCTGTAATCCTTGTAGTGGTAGGCTAGTTCTATTCCAAACAGTTCAGCGAATTGCAAGAGGACCCTTGTAGGGGCGTGAATTTTGACAAAATCTATGTCTGTGTTTACTGAAAAACCTGAAATTTCAAGCTCAAACCCCTTTTGTTCCAAATTTAAAAGGAAGGTTTCGATTTTTGTGATGGAGTCGTCGGTTAGGGTGCTTTTCCTGTACACTATTACAAAATCAACTCTCTTCTTGTTTAAGCTTCGGACTTTTTCTTCTTTTTCCGCTTTGGTTTCGAGTTTATTTTGGTCGGGTTTTTCAGATTTGGTGCTTTTTTCGTCCAAGACGGGACTTGGTTTGGGTTCTTTTCTTGCTTGTGGCTTTGGTGTATAAGTTTTCGCGCTGAAATTGTAATCAAAAATTGGTTTGTTTGGTCTCGAGTGTCTTACGATCGTGGATGCTGTTTTACTGATACGATGGGTCCTACCCAAATAGACATATCAAGTACACAATCTTTTCATTTAAATTATTTTTAGTACGTTTAATTTCGTCATTAAAGTTTTCGATTTTTGGCTTCGATTAACACGGATTGTATAAAAAATGTAAAAAGGTAAAAAGTGAAAGCTAAACTGTTACTGTCATCCTGACGTTTCTTATTTTAAATTGAAACTCTTAAATAAAATCGTCTACTTACTCATCAATGGTTTCTGCATCGACATTTGTCCCATTGACATTAACACTCATTGTAAAAACAACTGTTTCTCTTATCCAAACAAGAGAAATCAAATGATTTTGATCACGAAATTTTAATGAAACTTTTAACTTATTCTAACTCTTCTTAACGGCTTTTGACAGACTGTCAAAACTTTTGTCTTTAGAAAAACCATTGTTGCTATGTATTTACGATAATTGTTGAAAAATATAAATAATGTTCCGTTTTTATTGTTACAAATTTAAATAGATGATAGAATATTCAGTTTTAAACCAGAAGTTTCATATAAACATGTTTCGAAAAATGCTATACAAGGGACCTACACTCTAAAAGGGGTGCGTTTTTAAGGGTTTTTCCCAATGTTTCAAAAAAGATAAAATTACAAAATTTGGTACAGAGGATAACCTTTATACACCTAAAAGAATTCTAAGATGAAATGTTGAAATTTTTAATCAGAGGCGCCCTAAACGGTAAAACGAATTTAATTTTTAATTTTTATGCTGTTTATAGTCTGTAACTTAAATTATTTTAAAACTAATTTTACTCAAATTTTGTAAGTTGTATCAAAAAAGACCTGTTTTTATGAAAAACTATGAAGTTTAGAATTTTGTTGCTGAAAGTGGCAAGAAACTGCAGTCAAAATAGAGTACTTTTTACTCTAAACCCACCTAGTTACGCCTCTGATTAGAAATTTCAACATTTTATTATCATCTGTACCAAATTTTGTAATTTTATCTGTATCTCCTTTGCGTAGCATTTTTTATATATTTGCTGAAACTATTTATTATTTGATACAACTAATTGATGGATGATAAAGTACTATAAAAATGTGATATTTTATCAAGAATAAGATTTTTCGAATTTTTGCTTGTTTTAGAGTTCTGCAAAATTTTTATATTGTTTTAAATGACAACCCACTATAAAACTTTTTTTTCACAAAGACTATGATTTAAGAATTACAACTACGAGTATCTACATTTTATTCAAATTTTGTGAAAAAAATTTCATGTAAGTAGCAATTTTTACAAAAAAAATCGCATAACTTAGGAACAAAATAAAATTTCATTCATAAAACACGATCAAATGTTTTTTAGTACTTTAACTTTTATTAATTATTATTTTTTGAAGGCAAATGATGTAATAAAAACACTTGGTCCAATACTTTTTATTCAACTTGTATGTTTTATTTGTAAAATTTTGGTTTTCATGCATCTAACATTTTTATTTTGATTTATTTGTTGCTGGATATAATAACACTTTTTCTATTTTTTATCAGAGCAGAACACTCTGTATAAGACTTTTGACTGCATACCTTTTTTTAATTGCTTGAAAAAAATGTTTTCTTTTTGTTTCCTTCTTTATTTTTCTTCCTCGTTTTAGCTAATTTTACCAAACTCGAGATTCTCAGAATTTAGTAAAACTTCAAAATAACTCAAATCGGTTATATTTCTATTTACTGAATACAGAAACATGAATTCTATTGTTAGAAACCTTGAAGAGTAAATTTGTGTTTAGAATTTCAGAAAAAATGATTTAGGAATTAAAATTTCATCTATTTACACTCATAATCCCGGTTCCTGGAACGATTTAACATAAATTTTATTGTTCTAAAATTGCTGATCGCATTAGAAACCGAATTTAAATCAAAAGTTGATAATTGTATACTTAACTTAAAACTAAATCTAGAAATTTAACTGAAAAGGATTTAGGAACAAGTAGAAATTTCCAAGAAAAAGAGAATCTTGAATCTATAGTATTTCCATTTTTAGATTCTTTACCCTTACCATTTAAAAAATTTAGAATCGTGATTTTTAAAATTGAAGAAACGTGATAAATGAAAGTTTAGATAAAAAATTTTATTTATAGAGTTTCTGTAATTTGAATATTACAAACCGTAAATTTAAAATTTTAGAATCAGAATTTAGAATTAGAATTCAGTTTTTAGCAAAAAATTACCGATTTTAGATGAATTTGAGAAACGAAAAATTAGAAATCAGAAGTTGCAGACTGAACTCTATTGTAACTTCCTGAATTTTGCATTCTAGAATCTACAAATGTCATTTTTAGAATTTAGATTATGTAATAAACAAATACTTTAGAGCATAGAAGACAAATGTATTAATCCAATTTTTATTAAATTGCTGAAAAATAGTTATTTATTATACAAGACGATAAAGACATTGTTTATCTACGAGTGTAAAATATTCCGTTTTATTTTGTACTCACCTACCAGAATTTCTTGAATATAAATAGTAGATAAAAATTACTTTATTTCACAAGACGATAAAAAACTATTTTATGTACTGAAATTAGTTGATAAAATATAAACAGTAGATAAAAATTACTTTATTTCACTAGACGATAAAAGACTACTTTATCTACTGAAATTAGTTGAAAAAAGCACTCTTTAACATTGAGTACAAAATAAATATTTTTTTATGTTTTAAAAACAGTTATGAACGTACAATTACTATTTTAATGCTATATTTTCTACCTTGGTGAATTGTCATTTTAATGTTGAACTTAGAATCTCTACAAGAAAAGTGATAGTAGCAATGACAATTCCTGTAAACCAAATGTAGAAAGCAAATACTATTTTCTTAAAAGTAATATTTTTTGAAACAAAGTGTTTCAGCAGGAGAAACCAACGGTCTATTGTTCTCGTCCCCTTATTCTTGTGAAACTGAATGAAGCCCGCAGAGTCCAGTATTAGAAGAACTTTATTAAAACTGTCACATGAAGGATAACCTTTGGTGAAGTATGCAAATAAAAAATTAGATTTTATTTGTGGTTTAATAAGATGTAGCGACCGGAACTTTGGACGGCGTAAGAAAGATATCTGTATTGCAGCAACTCAGTAACGGATGCGGTATGTTTATCAAAGGCTGTTTTGTCAGCAACCTCCAATGTTATCAAATTTATGATAAAATTCCCTTATTTCATCACTGATGTAACATTTTAAATCGCTTTTGATAATGTCTTGGGGACTATTGATGGGACAGTCAAGTGCGTTCGTGCTAAATGCGTCAAGCAACTCACTTTTAATAAGTGTTGAAATTATCAGAAAACCACACAATGTGAAACTTGTCAAGATCCGAATAGATTTTTTTTGAAAATTCGTCAATGTAGAAATCGATGATTCGAATAACATTTGGTAATTCACCATGACAGCAAATGTAAAATCATTTTCATCCGACAAATTGCAAAAAAAGACACTTAACACAATTAAAAAAACTAAAACTAATATGAATGAAAATAAATCAAACTTCATAAAAAAAATCTTCCAAAGTTTCTTTTTATTACATTGGGGAACCACCCAGTGATGATTAAAGGTCCAATAAGTTCCAACCAAGTCAAATTTAGTGAAATTGTGGACATCAAAATATCGGTAGTTCAATATTACGTGACTTTCTTTAAGCTGCAATAAACCTGATCAAAATTTAGAAATATTTCCAATTCAAAACACTACTTAGCATAACTCCAAGAGAGTTATTTCTTGCGTTCAATTTCATCTTAAATTGCAACTTTTTGGCTACGACTTCAAAAATGGAGTAAAACGCTCCTAATACCTTGATATCAGTGAAGGCCTCGTCGCTAAATACGTAAGGAAAATACTGGGCGAATGTTACTAAAACTGTTGTGTTTCTCCACAAAAGTGAAAGAGTTTTGTTGAAAATATTCACTGAAAAGTCCAAAGCGGCGCATTTGCCCAAATTTGTTGGTTCCACTCCAGTTGCAAGGGCATCTTCATACATGAAAGGATTGTAAGTGATTAAATCACCTTCAAGGCTCACGACAACAACTTTATAAATGAAATAATGAGCAAGGATTTGGAAAATGGACGGGTTGTAAGGAGCAGTTAGGATTATTACATAATGGGCTCTAGGGTCAAAAGTTTCAAATCTTTGAAGTAAATCAAATATGTTCCCAAGTGGTCGATTTTTTAACGTAATAACGTAGATGTTGGGAAGTTGATAAGTCATTTTCGTAAAATTTTCTTTCAAACTGTTTTGATAAATATAAGGGTATGGAACATGCACATTTGTGTCTAGTAATACTACAGTCCAAGGTGCAACGTAATATTTCCCTAAAATTTTCTCAATACATTCCGTTGGGTCATGAGTGGCAACATTTAAATTAAATTGATTTCTTGTTGCATAAATTGTCGTTAGAAGTAACAAAATTATTTTTTTCTTAAAATACATGCCGGCTAAGTGTTTAGGTTGCAAATAAGTCGACTGTTTTGAATAAATTATATGTAATAAACAATTTTTATTAATTTCTTTTTAGTTTTAATGGAAAACAACAAAATTCAATTCAATCTAATAGGGAAACAATAAAATTGATTGTAGTAAATTAGTTA